GAAGTTGGCCGCAGTAGTGGGAGAGAACCGTCTCAAACGTCCCAAAATCCCCTTTCTCCGAATAGACGCTCGACCTCACATTGCAAAGATAACTCGCTACGTTCTGAGGGAAACTGGCTGGACCACGATACCATGTCCATCGTATAGCCCTGGCATCACTCCATCGGGCTACCCCCTTCACAGTGCCTTGAGGCAGCAGCGGCGAGAGAAAAAAGTCACTAAATACAACCACTCCAAAAACGACCTTGCTGAATTCTTCAGCTCATAGCTTCACCCATTCTAGGAGGAAAGCATCCAAAGGTTCCCTGGCGAATGGATGCATATCGATGATTATGATAATGGTTATATTTTTGATCAATTGGTTTTAGAGGAAGATAAAACTCGATAAGAAATTTTCTAAATTCGGATAGGAATTATGGGACAACCCAATAAAAATATACGGCGGATGTGGAGAAACTTGATGATCTGTACTGGGTATTTCAATTAAAACATCATTAGAATCATTCAACAGTCAAATTATTTTGAAATTGCGATGCATGGTGTTGTTTACAGACATCACTTTAGCTCCGCACTCCACCGCGCGTATCAAGCGGACAGTCAGCTAACGCATTTCACGAAGAAACTTATTTCTTACCGGTGGAACCCAACCTCCACCGACTGTCCAGTTTCACCGAAGCCTTCGATGCGATGCAGCGCGGTAGCGTGCGGAGCTAAACTGGTGAATAGATTTGCTTGATTAAATGCCGTTTTACCGACTAGTACTACATGTGTCTGGGTGCTGTGATACCCTAAAGCCGCTTCCCGTTAATGAGGTCACATTGTACTCCGCAGAGTTTTCGCATTTATTTAATGTTTTCTCGCAACTATGATGCCAAGATATGGCTTCGTGCCTTTATTCACTAATCGCTTCAGTGGCCCTTCTATGAGCCCATCACGGTGACTAGGGTACGAAAAAAAGAGGAGCGGACTCATAGTTGATCGCATGTATACTCCAACCATGTTGTTACAGCTCTCTCACATTCAGTATACTCTCCGCGTATCCTACATTGGAGGCGAAAATGAGACACGCCTATTGATGTGACGGCCTCGCATATGCTCACTGCAATCAGAGTGGGACTGTAGGTGGTGCGAATTGTTGTGAAATGGCTGCTTAAGAAGTCCAAACAGAAGCTTACGTCATGAGCGGTCATTCATTTCTATGTACTTGGGATGGTAAGAAAGTCCTGAGCCGATTTTTCGAAAGCTCCAGAACTTTCGCTTATTGATCGATACCTAGAATCTGCTACGTGATAGACTATCGTTGTCGATCAT